CAGCCCCGTGTCCACAATGGCCGTATTGTGGATGCTTGGTAGCGGTAGCTTCCTCCCGTTACGGCCAACGGGCCGGCGCTAAAACAATGCTTTTGTCCGAGGGCGTACAAGGAGGGGGGGGGGACTAATCCACTACATACTGTGAAATAAACCTCTCTCCGAGATGAGAGAGCGAGCGAGAGAAACGGCAGTGAATGAATTCACTGGCGAGGAGGGTTAGAGTGCAGCAGTTTAACCCCTGGCCAAGAAAGAGGGAGGAGAGGAGGCCAAGGGAGCGAGAGAAAGGAGGAACAAGGAGAGGCAGGCGCTGCATCCCTTCATCTCCGGTGCACGGATGGAGGAGAGGGGCTGCCGGTGGCTTTCACAGCCTCTCTCCTCACCAGAGAAGCTGCTGTTCACCATATGGGATTTGGCCTCTCTTAACAAACAGGCCCCCTATTCACTCACAACACGCATTCAGTCGTTCATGGAGTGAGGTGAAAAAAGTCCTTTTTTTTATGCCTTTAGAACATTGGATGGCCATGAGGGCTCGAAGTCTGCGTTTGATTCACATAGTATAGAGAATTATAAACTAGAGGCTTTCATCTAAATGTGTATTCACACTGGATTTGGGGTTAGGTCTTTTTTGTGTTTTACTGAAATCTCTTGTTTTGAACGCAGAACTATGCATTCAGGCCACTGTTATTGAGCTGCTGAGGTGATCCTATAGAACCACAAACACAGGCTTTTCCCTGTGGGTGTATTTCGTGTTCATCATATGGTTTTCCCAGTGGTTTGCAAAGGCTATTTTTATAAAGCTGTGTGTCAGTGAGTAAAAAAAAGTTGGATTCTACTTTTTAAATTTTTATTTTGTGACAATATGTTGAGCACTTGAACAACTTGCCATGCAGCGCCGGGCAGTGGCAGGTTTCTGACACGTATGTTGTGCGCAAACTTTTTCTTCCAGCCAGCAGCATTAGAGCAGCATTAGGAACAACATCCTCTGCCAACAGCTTCTTTTTAGCCTACTTGGAAATCCCAAGAAGTGAAGATTTATGCCAAGATGAAGATGCCAGCATTTTTCATTTTCAGCCCACTTGGAAGTGCCGGTACACATAGATTTATGCAGAGAATTGAAGAAACAAGAGATGAAAGGGTAGGTTTAGGTTTTGGTGAACATATTAGATATATTATCTGGGTAATTTATTCTGTTTAATTCCATCACTTCTTATGATCCACCTGAGCTGGTCTTCGGGCATCTCCTCCCTCATCCAGTCCTTCCTCCTCCCACTCGTTCCCTGTTGCCCCGCTCTCAGCTCCCAACACCCTTCACCTATTAACCCTCCTTTTTTTCCTTGCTCCCTCTTCTCCTCCAACTTTTAAAGACCGGCGTCTCAGGAATAGCCAAAACATTGATTTTTTTTCTTTTCTTTTTCCACCCTTCATTTTCCTTCTTTACCGTCACGACTCAAGGGCTTCCTGCATGTGGCCCCCATCGTGACTATTGGAGGTCAGCCACGCTTTAAGCCCTCTGAGATCCTTGTACATGCTACCGTACACTAAATATTCACTCCTGAGCTTGCCGTCTGTCTGTAAACATGCGGGTTCAGCTCACACATTTGTACACAGACACGCGCGCACTTTGCCAACCGAGACCAGTGGTCAATCCCCGAGCTTTTGTCGGATTTACTCCACCTCCATTTCCTAAGGGTGTGAATGTAGGAATGTAATTCTGGATAGGTGATTTCAATTCAATTCTCACCCATTGGATTTGTTTACACTTCACCAGAGTGGAAGTGCTATAAGTCGCTTCCGCCTTGTCACCGGTGTTGCACATCACATTTGATGTTGCACATGTTAGTTGACTGCATTTTATACATTTTGCCAAATATGGGAAGCACAATAAACACATTTGAAGTCTTCTGCATTTGGGGAGAGGTTGATGTCCAGCAGGTCAATATATCATGGCGAACGGCTGAACAGACCATGGTTTGTGTTGACTAATCGGTTGCAGGGAATGAAGGCGAGTGTTGGGAAAGTGTGAAAATAAAGCTGCATACATACATATTAGCTTTGGTCCAACCTGACCAGCCAAAAACCATGATGGCAAGATCACGAAAGTCAACAATCCCAGTGGCTGCAGACGGAAATATATTTGAGTTAAAGGCACATTTTAACAACATTTAAATATGCAGTACCAATCAAAGGTTTGGACCTTGATCTTTTTTTCCTTGAATTGGATGAGATAATGTGTCCAAACCTTTAAATATCACTTTACATACACGGTTTAGTAAATTTGACAGTTGTCAAAAATGAATTGCATTTATTTGGCAGATGCTATGGAGCTTGCGTGTGTGTGTGTGTGTGTGTGTGTTTTGAAGAAGGGGAGGATGAATTAACCGGTGTAGGATCTGTCATGGTGACATTTGTGTCCCCTGGCAGAGCAGCAGGGGTCCTCTTCACCTCTGTAACCTTCAACTTTCAGCCTTAACCCCCTTCAAGCCCCCTCGTGAGTCCACCACACGCCTAGCACATCCAAAGGGAGGGGTGTATTGACGCAAAAGAGTGAAGAAAGCGAGGGGGGGTTGCAGAAGGGAAGAGGACAGAGAGCTGCAGGGGAGGGCGGGATGAAGAGCAAGAAAGGTTGTACAAAAAAAATAAAATGCGTCAAGCATGGGAAAGAGAGAGGCGAGAAGAAGTGTGTGTGGGGGAGGATGTGGGGGGTGGGAGGGGAGGGCAAGTTGAATATATAAAATAAAAGGCAGTGGGAAGAAGCAGCGAGAGGCAAAATGATTGGCACAGAAATTTGGAGGTGGAGCAGCGAAAAACCGAGCCAGTTGGACAGAAAGGAAACGCAGCGGAAGGAGACATAAATGATGCAGGAAGGTGTTTGGTACTGCTCTGAAGTTCTTGCATGTGCTCAGCTGTGTTTTCTTACAACTCAAGGTTTTCTGCCTCCTTTGCTTTCTTTATTCATGACTCTCTCTCGCTCTCGCTCTGCACCAATCTAATAGTGGGACTCAACACTAAATAGAATTTACTCAAAAAAGGACAAGATCGCACATATTTCCGCTTGGAGAGAGAAGGACTGTAACTTTTATGTTTCGTATTGTTCATACATATTTTCGAGTGTTCGATGTCAGAACCTTGGTTTTTTCAAAAGAAAAAAATATAAAGGATATATAGCAAATATAGCAGCCGTTGGGGGTCAATTGGTTCGAGGATGTCAACTATTGGGAAACTCGTCCATGTCAGAAAATTGTAGAGCATGTTGTTCATCAAGCTACTCGTCATACCTGTGCTTTCCCTGCGTGACGACTCAAAAGGCCTTTAGTGCCCACCGGCTCAGCCGTGAACATGTCTGCTGACACAGTGGGACCCCTCACCCTCTGGCCTCCCGGACCCTTTCTGTCTGTCTTGTATCACACTCCAGCAGCAGTTCCCATCCTCTCACCCAGAAAATCAGCATAAAATAGCCCTAACTGTCGCAGATCATATGGGGTGGCAAAACAGAGGGGGGAGGGGGGTTTGGGTGGGGAGTTGGTTAGTAGAGCTTTGAGCTTCGCTGTTTTTTTGGGTTCCCCCCCCCCCGCGCCACTCTTTTCAAGATGGGGCCCATGAAATTATCCAACAGGATTATGTAAGGCATGATGGATTCTGCTGGGTCCTGTCACCCGTCTGTCCATTGTGTGCTCCTCTGTCTCCCAGGCAGCCCGGTGTGTTCGCTGTGAAGTGATACTCCACATATTGTGCGTTATTGCACGTCCTCTTCACTGAGATAAGGGGTGGTCCTCTCCCCCGGCTTTGTAAATGTTTGCATTAATCTTTTTGGACATATTCATATGGCAGCGTCATATCCGGATTGAGCCTGTGTTAAAAATGGTCATACGTCTTTTTAACTAAAGGACAATAGACGTAATTAAGCGGTTCCATTTTCTTTCTGCAGTTTGCCTGCTTTCAGAAGGTTTCGGTCCATGCCGGTGAACCTGGCATGTGAGAGCTCAGCTCTTGAAACCCTTGCTGCTGGTGGCCACGGGGTCACCGGGTGACCTTGGAGCTGTGGAAGCCATGTTCACCAGAGTGCTCTGTGTTCAGGCTATTGGTTCCTTTCAAACACGGCGTGTTGCACATGTTGCAAGAGTGACACTAATGCCAATAGATATATCTATTTTTTGCAGTTTGGTCCCTTTTGTCATGTGTGAATTTACCCACTATATTTTCAAGGCATTAGTACTGAGACATTAGAGGCAACATTAACCATTCTATCTGTTATTTTTTTACTGTTGATTTAATCTTTCAGTTTGTCCTTTGTGATTCATCAATTAGTAGGTAGTAGTAGTCTAAAATTATGAGAAATACTCACAACAGCTCATCAAAGCCACACGTTTTATCTGAAGATGTCTTGTTTAATCTCATCAGTCTCAAGTTTTGGATTTGCATTGGCATATATGAATCTGTGGAAGCCAACTAATGCTCTGTATTTATACTTCATTACTGACCTAATTGACAAAATCTAAATTGGTTCTCTCGGCTAATCTCACCAAGCACTGATGTTATTTACTAGAGAGAAGAAACAAATCGCTAACCTCTGGTAAACCTTTTAACTTTAGCTTTTACGTTTCGCCAGCAAACCGCCAGGCTTGTATCAATTTAGGAATAATTAAGCAAATAAACTGGAGAATGTGTTGATGTGACCTTCTTAAACGTGTATCATTTGGTAATATAAACTATCATCTACACTGAGAATAAAGATTAGCATATTTATAGCACATACCTCCTAGACACACTGTCTCTTGTCTTTCACTTTGCGTCGCTCTGCATGTGTGTGTAAGTGAGTATATAAGTGTGTGTGTGTGTGTGTGTGCGTGCGTGCGTGCGTGCGTGCGTGCGTGCACAGACTCTCAGCAGCCACCCTTGCCCCCCCCCCTCCTCTCTCATTAATATGTATGTGTTCTGAGGCAGCTAGCGAAGACGGTGTGTTTCTCACCCGCTGATTAATGCTGTCTGTCAATTACCTCCAGATCCAACCGTGCTGTGGAGCTTCCCCCAGGACCACACCGACCAGGTTGGAACACACTCTGCTTTTTCATTCTCTCTCTCTCTCCAAATCCCTCCCACTAGTTCACCAGTATAGACAACCCCTATCCAGTATTTCACCATTGCTTAATGCCCTCGCTCACCCTGCCATCCTGTGATACCAACACCTATCACCACCAACACCTATCACCACCCCAATCACCCTCCTCCTCGTCTCTCTGTCTCATTGTACGTCTGTTGCTGGTAATGAAAAGCAGTGAGCAGGTCTTCAATAACCGACGAATCAGTAATTATCATGCAACCGTGACAGGAATGCACACCTCTGTTTTCTCTCCTCTCTCTCTCTCTTTCTCTCTTTGAATCTCCTGCTCTCATTGTGCTGCTGTGTCTGCCTCCCATTGTTTCACTCCGTATAGCATTATCACGTTCGTTTTCCATCTGAAAGCCAAATCTGCAGCTGTTTTGCAGCACTTTTTGGAACACCATTTCTTTTTCAGCACGTATGGCAGGGTTTTGTACACCTCAGTATCCCCCACTAAGCTGCACTGTTGAATGGTAAAGGATGAATCCGCTTTACAACCGGGTCTTATTTGACTATTTATTTTTTTGTTTTTGTTAATCATTTCAAATGCTTATAATAAAATAAAATTGGAGACATTGTTACTACAAAGTCCAATGAGCAAGTAGCACAATCACAGATACAGACCAGAGTCTTGAAACCACTCGGAGATTAATGTGAGAATATGAGAGTAGGTCTATATATATATATATATACACACATAATGTGTGTGTTCTCTTATTGTGTGTGTAGTAAGTACAATAGGTCACTAAGATAACTACAGTTATTATGAAAATGTAGTCATAGTTTGAAGAATTCAGGACCACTGATTTCCATTTTAGGGGCAAAGGAAAGTATAGCCTGCTGATACCCTCAGTTAAAATATTTAAATGATTTAAATGACAGGAGATAAAAAAAGTCAGATTATTGCATCCCTAGTTTTGTCTTCCTCAGGGCTCGTTTAGTCTGTTCTCTATACCCTTGTTCAATGTGTATTCTCCCATCTGACTTCTTTTGAATGATGTCACTTGAACTTTACGTTATTGTACACGATAGAAATGATGGCCAAAAGTAACCTAATAAGACACAAATTGTTGAAAACCCAAATGATCCTTTAAGCCCCTCACACTTTGTATCCGCTGTCTCAAGGGGGCCTCGTGCAAACACGCAGGAAAAAAATCTTTGGAAAAACGTAAATTGATTTGATATTCCTTTTATTTAAAAGCCTCGCTCTTTACCCTGAGAAAAGTACACCACCTCAACGGGGGGTCTTTGTTATTTATCTCTGGCTTCACCTTCAAAGAACCACAGTCAAGATCCAACCTGATCAAAACCACCACACGGCCTGCAATAATGTGCGTATTGATCTCCACGTTGTGCACATTACTAAGTAGATTAGTTTGACTCCTTCTCCTGTTGTCCTTTCTGCCACTTATTTAGTCTTAAGAAAAAGGGTTTGACAGATTCGACGGCAAAAAGAAAAAAGAGACACACAAGACATGCGATATATTGCTTCTGTTCCCAAAGATGCCACAGCACCAAACGGGTTCCTGGAGCAGCAACGCTGGACGGATGGCTGCAGTGATGGTTATTGGGCCGGAGGGGAAACGTTGAAGGAAAAGAACTACAGAAAAATAAAACAATACATGCGTAGGCTAACTATCTCTCAACACTGCAGCCAAGCCAGGGAGTTTAAACAGCCCCCCCACCCCCTGACTCCCTGATCCACTTTGAGGAATAAACGGCTTGTAGGAAGCTGCTCCAGGCGATGTGTGCCTACCCCACAAGAACCAGAGCACGCAATCAAAGTAAGAAGAGCAGCGACTGAGGCAGCGAGAGTGTGAGCAAATTACAGACTTGCAGAGGTAGGCGCAGGACATGGAAGTGATGGAAAAGGAGCAAAAAGAGAAGAGTAACCCGGCTGTGGGAGGTGTGGGGTGCGTGAAGGGGGGGGGGGGGGGGGCAAGGGTAGGGGCCTTCCTCATCCTCTCTCGTGGAAAAGTCTCCCTTTTTTCTAACCCACCCGCAACCTTAATTCTCTTTATATCTGTGTGTGACCAAATAGGAGGGGGGGAAAAAATGGCCCTTAAAATGGCAAGTTAGCCCCCTGGGAACAAAAAAAATGGCCTTTTCCCTGGTAAACTAAAGGCTGGTTTCCCGGGCTCTATTACCAGGATGAGGCTCCTTTTCCTCCTTTTGTGGGGCGGAAGGGGGGGATTCTTTGTAAGCACAAGTCCATATTCTTTTTCTGGTGGCCCAGACTGGGCCGAAAAATGGAGAATCAGCCAAAATGTCTCTAGGGAGGGGTTCAGAGCACAAAACGAGGCCTCTCTTTTGTTTGGCGCGTTATTGTTGCTCAGCGTTAATAACATTTTCTGGCCGTAGGATTAGGGGTGGAGGGGTTTAGTCTACCCCAAGGGAGTAAGAGAGAGAGAGAGAGAGAGAGAGAGAGGGAGGGAGAGAGGGATGGAGCTGGTGGTGGTGGTGGGGGGTAAAGACATGCAGACAGACAGGAGTGTGGATTATGGAAATATGAATTGATTTTTTTTTCTGTTCTGTGGTAGAATAGAAAGCTCAAAGGAGAACAGACTGCAGGCTGGCTGGCACGCCGGGGTGGTGCTGTGGAAATATGAAGTGAGAGGCGCTTTCTCTCTCTCTCTCTCTCTCTCTCCTTTCTTTTTCCCTAAACCCCCCCATTCCTCCCTCAGCCCCTGAGACTCTTGATACCCTGGTCATCCACAGATGCCACTTGGACAGCGAGGGAGAGATGGAGATTTGGAAGCGAGAAGAGGGAGGGCAAGAGAGAGGTGGCTAAAGCATATATTTGAATTGCAAGAAGGGCTTTTTTTTTTTTTTTTTTTTGCAAATGAAGCAGACAGATGGAAATCTGTCCGTTTCCTCTCAGATCTCTTCCCAAAGTGTGCGAAAAAACACAGCAGACCGAAGACGCACACTCATGCTGTCACACACAACACGCACAAACACACACGCAGGCACACAACGCACACACGTAGATTCTGCCAGTCAGTTGCAGATAACCAAAGTTTGGTGTACAGAGGGGGCACTCCTCTTTAGAGAACACAAGTTTCACAAACAGACGACTTTTTGAAAACTTACAGTGAGCCTGTGTCTAACAATGATACGTTACTCACACCCCTGTGCGAAGTACTCTACGTCCTTGCCCAACACACTTGGTAAATAGACATGTGTAGGGTCTACACTGCCATTTATTTTGTTTATGTGTTTGATTATCTTTTATTTTCTGACATACACATGTCTTATTGTTCATTCATTTATTTAATTCTGGGCTCTCATGATGTCATTTCCTTACATTTAACCCTCCCAGCTGTCAGGAAACTCACAGTTTCAAAGTCAAATTTAAACCCTCAAACTCAAAGAAATACCAAAGGGTCTTAAATAAAGTAAATAAAGTCTCAATATCACCTGCTCATCAAATTGCAAATGCGTACAATTGTGTTTTGAGAATTTGTCCTGAGATATATATAAAATCTTTAAATATTCATAGTTTCTTGTAATAGGTAAAGTAAAGTACACAATGGTTTCCCCTCAGTGAACACAAATTCTACTAATTATGTAAAGGATTGTTGGGCAAAAGGAGATCTAAAAAGACCTTAGGAAGTGTGTCCGTCAGCCTGGAAACTCTGGATTTGGAGCAATACCATTTCTTTTGTTTGTTATTATTAGCAGAAATACATATTAACTAGGCCACAGTACTGCTGCAGGAGGAAATATGATTTAACACTGGTCGACCACGTGTTTCATAGACTTCCATGCTGTGCTACTGTGTCAGTAGAGTTGATACACGTTTCAAAATACTTGCGTTTGGGCTTTACTCGTCACAACTGGATGTTGCCGCTCACCGCTGTCGTATGTTCTTTGTCAGAGTCCCATAATTTCTCACAGGAAATAGAAACTGAATACTCTAACTGAGAACTCTGCTCACTGTGTCAAGTTGCACACTCGCCCTTCTTCATTCCCTTTTCTAGTATTTATCACTTTCTTTTGCACTCTTGCACATTTCTTTCTTACAGTTCGATAGAGTTTCTCCTCTCAATTTTGGCACATCATTTATTTGCATACACTCGCATGCATACACAAAGGTACAGGTAATGCTAGCTATGCTTTCTTGGCATGTCACCGTCTCTGTCTGGTTCAATCTTTAGAGTTTTCTTGTTAATCTTTTCTCTAGTTTTCACTTTCTGTCTCCGACCCTGTCTCTTTCTGTCTCCACCTTCATAACCGTCGTCATGCCCTTTTGCCCCCTGTTCCGTTTTGAATGACTTGCTCTCTGCATGTTCGTCAACCTTCCAAATAATGTGTTTCCAAACACATTATCCGACACTGCAAATGTCCTATTTTGCATAAACTTCCAACTTTGTTGCAACACATAATTCAGAGCGAAATAAAGGATAATGAATAATGAATGGGTTTAGACTCTCCGCTATGAACTTAAGTTGATGCTAATTCTCCATGGCCAGTCCACACGTGTTAATAGAGAACCTTTGATCTTCCTGCAGCACCAGTTTTTCGTGCTGTTTTCGTTTACACCAAGGCTACTGTAGGTGTGATTTAATCCTATAAGGAAATCCTTGCTTTGATACATAGTTGTTTATGTGCATAATCAATCCGTAAATTTTAGTTCACTGTTGTGTGAAAAATGTAGGGGAATTTATTTTTCCCCTCAACATAAGCAATTGTAAGCAAAAGCTGTATTACATTGTCTGCTAGGCCTTTTTCATGTGCTTCACGGATTTGAAACATGAATTTCGAATTTGAAACATATGCATGTTGGACAAATTAGCTTTGATGGGGTAAGTGGTATCTGTGCATACCAACGAATGGGATTTCCTGTTGACTATTTAGATGAACACCAATGACTGAGTCACTGCAGGTGTTTTAGTTTGTAAAAATATTTTGCTGTTTCACACTTTCCTGTTGGAGAGTGGGCA